AAAGATAAGGTGTCAGGAAATAAGCAGTACATTGGCAAATATCTACTTTGTACTGCTGTAGGGCAATCAGTAACTGGCTTTTGCAAAAATGCCCATTGCCACAGCAAAGCTGTATGTATCATGAATTCCCCTTGAAATTTTAATTTCATTCATTTTTAAATAACATTTGAATGATCCCTTTTTGTCAGGTTTAAAATATGTATTTAAAAAAAAAAATGCATATATATAGCTCAAAACTAATATAAAGCAAACGTTTCAAAGTTTATAAACTAAAATTAGATTCACCAAAACTTATTTAAATGTAATGTAGAACTCCATGGAACTGTTCAATCAGCCAGTGTGTCTAGGTTAGCTTGTAATTTGGAAACATCTTGGAAGTGGCTGTATTCTACTATATAGTGTTTTGTGATCTGAAAATACAGGAACAGATACATTAAATTCCAAATGAAAGAGTAATGGTTGCAAGATTAAAGTTAGGGGTACACTACTTACAATCTTGGACTGTTCTGAGACTGTGGAAATTTCCAAATGCAATACTTACGATGTAATATATTAGACTACCACTAACTTTGGGCTCATTCACACCATAACTCACATTAAAACTCCCTGTAACTCATAGAAAATGCAGACACATTGACACTTGTTTTTATATGCATTAAGGTGCATTTTTATGCGCATTGTCATCTGTTGAGATGTGTTTTGATTGCCATCCATAGTTTAGCATTTTTTAACTTTATTTCCTATTGCATCCAGATTCTGATAAGCTCCTCCCCACAGACCCCCACATCAACCGGACCAGAGATATGGGGAAGTGGCCCTTGTCCCCATTAACATTGGGGTATGGCACTTTGCCGGGGGGGGTCCTGGCAAGGTACCTGCCCCATGTTGAGGGTCTGCTGTCTGCTATTGTTTGGCAGGGGAATGACTGCATTCTTGCTTTCCCCTCTTTTTTTGACCAATCAGGCTGCATGCATACTTTTTTTTCCTGGGCTTTTTGTTTTCAGCTTGGAGGTCCCTCCCTAAAATCCAGTCTTGAAGGGTCTGGTAATAATTTTTGGGGCGAGCACGGGTTTTTTTTTTTGGTGGGGGTTCCCCATCCAAATCGATACCACAAGCAAGATAAGGGTCTTTTATGTAGTATCAGGGGAACCCTAACTGTTTATTTTCAACACTATAGTGTATTCATGACTGGTTAATTGCTGTGACTTGGATTACTGTTCTCAATCGTTGGTGAATATATATCTCTGCATGCTCCTAAGCACACACTGTACCCTCCAGACACCCTTTTCTATTAAGAAGGCTACCCTCCAGGTCAGTTGCATATTATTCAGTTGCATTGTGTTGATGTGAACTGCCAACAAACTCCAAAGTTGTATTGTGTGAATGAGGCACATAAAAAACTGTTGTTTTTTTATGTACCCATGAACGGGCCTGCCTTGCAGAAAATCACAAGTCACTGCACATGGTGTGAAGGAGCCCTTTGTCTTGATTAGCTATTTTCCTAGAACAAAGTGGGAGTGAATCTAAGCAATGTAAGAATGGACAGCGATTTTGCCCCTGTTGAAAAGCTTTTTCCATCACTTTTCTGACAGGAAGTGATTGGAATTTGCGCTAACAGTTATACAGAAAAGAATTAAAAACTTACACAGATTCTAACCCTTTTTCACTGTATTTGTAATGCAATAAAACATTTTAGTTGGAGGATGGTAAGGGCTTTACTTAGTAAATAGAGCCTTGCAATTTTAACTGGTGCAGTAAAGTATGTTTCTTTTTAGAGGTTAGTAATGGACCATATGCAAGAATATGTGAGGGAAAAACATGATGGGTAACTACATGGCCATTTAGATTAAATACCAGCATGTAATGCCAATCTTCAGCTTTGCAAGCTATGCGAGTATTCCCTCACATTAGGAGACAAAGTTTTATTGTGTAGCTGCTTATTAAAAAGGCCTGGGCACATATTAGGCACATGTGGGCTCTTAAGGAATTATATTCTGTTAAAACCTGGCAATTTTATTTTAACACCGTGCAACCTTCTCACTATTTTTAAAGCTTTGCTTTGTCACTGCTTCTCTGAGTAGACCCACTTTGTTTGCAAGCTAAAGCCATAAGGAAGCAGTCTATCTTAGTTGGCCATAATCCTCTCTGTGGCTTAACTTGTGGATAATGCAGGTCTGTTCAGAAAAACAGTAATGCGGGGAGGCTGTAAACTCAGCAGGCAGGCCATTCTGCTGTGCATTACTATTGTAGGGTTTTAAAGGTAGAGATGTAGTCTTCTAACAGCCCATATCTGTCCGATCAGGTATATAAAGTATATTAATATATGAAAGCTATCATTTAAAAAAAAAAAAACTCATCATAAGGCTGCTAATGTATATCAACTCTAGCTCTCAATACTTTTCACAGACTACAGACAAATTCTTCTGGCTTTTCTCTGATGTTACTGTTCTGCATCTTGTTTCAGCAGTTACTCTCAAGCCAGTCATGAAAGTTTTAGGAGGTCAGCAATGGTAGCCACAATTTTTTTTCATGATAGGTTTATTTTGAGAGAATTATGATAGCATGGCCTCATCTTTATTATGCGTTTCAATTTTGGGTACCACGTTACAAAAATGATGTCTTTAAACATAAAGGGATGACAAAGTATTGTCTCTGTCTGGTAAAACAAATTGGAATACGCGTTACTTCTGGATCACCTAGGCCTAGGGTATCAACTAGGATTAGGTATCTTAAAGATGCACGTTTTATTATTTAATTCTGTTTTTGTTTTTTTCTTTATGACATTCAATAATCTTTTCTAAAGGATGTTCTACAAAATTACAGCCACATCAATGGGAAAAAAAGTGGCAGTAGACATGCACTTCTACCCAATATAAATGTAACGGGTTAGAAGGAAGGTAGCACCAGCAGCAACAATAATTCTGTCAGTAGCAGCCAGCCCATGAATCCCTAACTAAGGAGCTTGTGGACAACGTAGCTTAATAATTTTCCAAGTAACAACAAGCAGTTAATGGTGAACAAAAGGATGATGTGATGATGTCAAACCAGAGTACTACTTGTGTTACTGAACCTGTGCAAATATTCACCCCTGTGGCCCTGACCATCAATCCTAACAATTCATGTTTTCCTTGAAAGTGAAAGTATCATCTAGCATTCTTTTAAATTGTAGCAGCAAGTTTTAACTATAGAGTCATTGGAGCTGTGTGGAATCCAGTGTTTAGAAAAAGTTAGAAGGGAGATATAATGCTGAGAAGGAGATCACTATGTTGATGCAGGTGTTGGAGGTGACAATTATGCCTGTGGAATCAAAGGTGAGGTTATGGCAAGGAAGAAGCGCCTAATCCTAAAAAAAAATACACATTTCAACATTATGAATTGGCAAGACAATCTTACTGATGGAAGGAGAAAACATCACAAGAGGATGAAGAGAAAGAGATTGAGCTGTGGTGAAATACCACGTTGTCAGGCACCCATACAGCTAATCAAGAGTTGCTGCTAGTGCTTTTTTTTTTTTTTTGCATATTGTCATGCGTTAAATGCATCAAGACAGAGTTTAAACCTTGCCCATGGACTTTGGCTGTCATCCAGCAGATACAATTATAAAACACTGTCAACTGAAAAAAAAAATACTGTGCTCAAAATGTTGTTGACGTGCTGACAAAGGTGGTCGGAGACTCTGCACTGGGGGGATGGTAATAGGTGTGATTTACAGAACAGACAATAGTAACTGTCATATGCTGCCCCTGTGAATGCACAATGTCCCAAATAAAATTCCATCCAAAGAATGAAACTGGCCACACCAGCTCCAAAACTGTTAAAACTGGTAATTCAGAGCACAAATTTCCCCTTTTTGTAGAGACATTCATAGAAGTGCAAGAGAGTGGTTGATAAGGCAGGCACCCCTCACTTCCCACCAAAAAACCTTCAGTGCCCCATAAAGCTTGATTTTGGTGAAACTTGTACCCCATCTGCAGTGAAATAAATTGTGTTAACCAAATGAATATATCATTTGTTCACTTTGTACCCAATCATGTGCAAGGGGAAATGGAAAAACAGGATTTTTGCCAGAATGATTAGTTGATTGAACATATTTACTAAACCTAGCATCTGCTTGTAAATGAACTTCACTGTATAGATTGTGTTCAGCAACCATATAGTCCATAGCATGGGGGTGGGGGGTGTCACTGGTTTCATTTCAGAAGCCAATATGTCCTATGATGAGCCTGATTTCCAGTGCATGTCTGAAAATGACTGATTGTTTAGAAGTAACACAGATAGTTCTTCTTTCAGACTCTTTTGATCATAAGAAAAAGAAACCCAACTTTCTTTGCTCAGTAATCACATTATTTGGCCATATCATTCTTTGGTGAAGTGGATAAGTAAGAATTTAGCACATATATGTTAAACCAAATTATTATTATTATACAGGATTTATGTAGCGCCAACAGTTTGCACAGCGCTTTACAATAAAATGAAGACATTACAATTACAATACAATTCAAGACAAGATGATAAGGAGGGCCCTGCCCGTGAGAGCTTACAATCTAAATGGGAGGTGCAGGTGATACGTGATACAAGAAATGTGTTCTTTACATTGATGGTTCCCTCTCTTGTATGTGCCTTTCTATATTTCTTTTTTTCAGCTGCTCAGTGTGGTTTGTATTGTCAGATATTAAAGGAAATCTGTCATGAGTGAAATATGGAGGCTGCCATTGCTGACCTCTGCTTCTGCAGATGTTAGTGTCCTTGTTATCATGTTGATTGTTTGGCTCCGAAACTTTGAGTCACTGACCCAGAATAGATAAGAACAAGAATTCTGAATATGTGGCTTACATTTTCCGCATGCTTGTTCCTTGTATGTGACTGTATGCAAAATAATGAACCATGGTTCAGCCATGCAAATAGCCTTTCAGATCAGGGCCAGCAGTGGCAGCCCACATATTTTTGTCTTAGCAGATGTACGTAAATAAATAATGTTAATTTTTTATTCTTTTCTTCAGAGATCGCATGATTGGGTTAATGATGACTGCATGTGATCTTTGCTCTGTGACAAAGCTATGGCCAGTGACCAGAATGATTGCTGATGACATATATGCTGAATTCTGGGCTGAGGTATGCTTTATGTATGTTATTTTACACATAGAAAACCGTGTTCTCTTGCTCTTGTATGTCTCGAGTAACAATAGAGAGCGAGCTGAAGTTTTAATTTATTATCACAATGAGCAACTACAAACTGTTGCAATCATTTATCGGTCTTCTATCTTTTGACTACACCAAACATAAAGTGTTTGATGTGGTTAAAGCTAGCCATAGGTAGTAGATTCTAATTATTTTCATTGACTGAAGCACTTACATTTACTAGTACATTTTAATGTAGTGGAGGAGTAGTTGCCTCTGGTGCTAGTTTTATATGCAGGGAAACCAAACATAATTGGCCAAAAAAGTAAAAACTGACTAAACCGCTGCCATCTAAGAATAGGCATGTTTCTTATTTTTATTCTGGTGTAGGGGTTCTATATTAATGTGCAATTGCAGTTTGTTTTTGCTTGTTAATTTAATGTAATTTGCTATTACAATGTGTTCTAATTTGCTCCTGCAGTGAGATGTGGAATTCTTACATGGTATCATATATTAAGCTCAATTCACTTAGATGAACTATTTCACTGTTATTAAGAGACTTGTCTCGTAAATATTTTTAGTTCACAGACAAATATATTTGCGTTGAATATTTATTTATTTTTTGGGGCATAAAACTGTTAAAGGTCTTATTTTTTCCCCACAAAAAAAACTGTAAAGGTGCTCCTTGATTTACTAAAGTGCAGAAGCTGTTCCCTTACCCAAAGTGAATGGTTGTATTGAAAGTTACACCGATCAGCCATAACATTATGACCATCCACCTTATATTAAGTAGGTTCCACTTTTGCCACCAAAACAGGCCTCACCCATTGAGGCATGTGCTCCACTAGACCTCTGAAGGTATGCTGTGGTATTTGGCACCAAGTCATCAATAGCAGATTCTTTAAGTCCTGTAAATTGCGAGGTTGGGCCTCCGTGGATTGGACTTGTTTTTCCAGCAAATTCGACAGATGCTTGATTTCATTGAGATCTGGAAAATTTGGAGGCCAAGTCAACACCTCGAACTCATTGTGTTCTCAAACTATTTTTGGACCATTTATGCAGTGTAGCAGGGTGCATTATTCTGCTGAAAGAAACCACTGCCATCAAGGAATATCGTTTTCAGCAACAATGTTTTGGTAGGTGGTACATGTCAAAGTAACATCCACATGAATGGCAGGACTCAAGGTTTCTCAGCAGGACATTGCTCAAAGTATCACATTGCCTCTGCTGGCTTGCATTCTTACTTAGTGCATTCTGGTGCCATCTCTTCCCCAAGCAAGCAACACACATGCACCCAGCCATCCACATGATGTAAAAGAAAACATAATTTATCAGACTAATCCACCTTGTTCCATTGCTCCATGATCCAGTTCTGATGTTCACGTGCCCATTGTAGGTGCTTTTGGCAGTGGACATGGGTCAGCATATGGGCACCCTGAGCAGTCTGCTGCCATGCAGCCCCATATGCAACAAACTGGGAAGCACTCTGTATTCAGACATTTTTCTATTGTAACCAGCATTCACTTTTTCAACTATTTGTGCTACAGTAGCTCTTCTATTGAATTGGGCTACATGGGCTAATAAGTTAGCCTAATATGACTCTGTTGCCAGTTCACCGGTTTGCCTTTCTCGGACCACTTTTGGTAGGTCTTGACCACTACAGACCAGGAACATCCCACAAGATGTGCAGTTTTGGAGTTGGTCTGAATCAGTCATCTGGCAATCACATTGGCCTTTGTCAAAGTCACTCAAATCTTTCCGATTGCCAATTATATTCTGCTTTTAACACAACTTCAGGGTCAAAATATTCACTTGCTGGCCACTATATACCACCCACTTCCAGGTTCCATTGTAACAAGGCATTCAATGTTATTAATTTGACCTCTGAAATCGGCTGATTGGGGAATGCGTACTTTTCAAATTGAATGATAGTGCACCCATGTTCATGTTGCATACCCAAACGTGCTAGAGAAATTTAGCAAAAATGTTTTTGTTTTTTTTAAATATCACATAATTTGTTGATTAAAGTAAATATCGCTTCACCTTATTTAGATAGGTAATTAAACCTCAACTTTGCTAGGAGAACAGCTTATTTTCCTTTAGTAACTCCACCCCAATATCTGTCACTACAAAAATGCTTGGTGGTTCTGAACTATGATGAGGAAAAGTATATAGTTAAATATACTATATATATATTGGGTGGCCTATATGGGTGGCCATCATCCATATAGGCCACGTTTCCTACTTCTCATACCCTGTGTGCTCGATGCTGTCTTTTGCACCTCTATTTTTGTAAATAATAGAAGTCTCAGCACTGCTTTAACTGCATGCAGGTGTAAACCTACAATTTTTGGTAACACCATTTCAAGTTAACTTATTTATAGGCATTGCAATGACTCATTGCCTATATAACTGCTCTGATGGCTCATCTCTAACAGATAATAGCAGCTATATCATAAGGCCTTAAAGTCTTGTACTTGCATGTCCACTGTTCTGTGCAGCCCACTGGTGAGTAAAAGACATTTGGGGAGAAGGGGCTAAACTACAGTATAATGACAAAGTTAAAACGCAGAGTTATCCTTTGATGTTTTTTGGGGGTTGTTGAGTTCTATGGCATCGATTTTAATGTTTCATTAATAGGGCGATGAAATGAAAAGGCTTGGTATTTCACCAATACCAATGATGGACAGAGAGAAAAAGGATGACATTCCTCAGGGACAGGTGAGTCAAGCTACTGTATACAACACTGCAGAATCCATTGTAATCACAGTTAGCATACTGGTGTGGTCACTATGCACCATTAACCCATAACCAATCAGAATAAGAAGTCTGCTAAATGGTTTCCATGAGTTAATGTCAGCAGAAAAAACTAATCAGAACGTTTTATTAAGGCCATCAATATCGTTTTTATTTCCTTGTCAGACATCACAAGTGTAAGGCAAGTGAAATATGCTGTCTGATCTATACAGAACTGAAGTGCAGTTTTTTTTTTTTTAACAGATGGAAATTTGAAATACCAACATGCAGATTATTCAAGTCCACAGCATGAATACATAAAAATTATATAGGTCTAGCTTGATAATTAAATTTACTAATATTTTCATGGGGAAAGAGGAAAAAGTGAAGTAAAAGAAGGTGTTGTGTTCCGCAGTCCTATCATAGCTTTTAGAGATATCTTCACTGCAACAAAATAGATTTGTGTGATAGAAATAAAATTAGTGGAATACAAAAAGTTATAAAAAAATAATAAAATATATAAAAATTAAAAAAATAAAAGTAATGAAGTATAAAATAAAATTAAAACCAACCCCGCTGCCATCTGCATGCAAATAAACACACACGTAGGACATGTGTGTGTGCGTTGAATGCTGCTGCCATTCCACTGTGTGCCATATTGTGGTAGCCAGGCAGCAGAATTCTCTTACACACACAATGTGCAAATAATATGGAAAAAATGGAATTACCCGATTAAATATGGCCCCGCCTCTCTGATAGTATTTGGGCAAGTACTTGTACTCACCCAAATGCTCCGATAACTATCCAGATACCAGAACTGTCGGTCAGGGGAAGATCTTCTCTGACCGACAGTGCCATAGGGGAACATGGAGCCAGCTTTCTGTGCAATCAGGAAGCTGGGCAGCGATTAATGAACCGCCTCCTGGCTTACTGATTGGCTGGGAAGCTAGCGTCCCAGCCAATCAGCAAGGAGCCAGCTTCCCGGCCAATCAGATCATTACTCGACGCCCAGCTGCCTGATTGGCTGGGAAGCTGGTTTCCCGACCAATCGTAATCAAGTCGGCCAAACGACATGGAGCCAGCATCCCTGACAACCAGGAAGCTGGGCGGCATGTCATTACCGCCAGCTAAAGCATCGGTACTCTGTATCGGCGGGTACCAAAAGCAAAATATCAGTACTCAATACCAAAAAAACGGTATCTGTGCATCCCTAGTTTTGATTAAAACTTTTTTTTGGTATTGGGACAAATAGATTTTCATGAGGGACAAGTAGATTGGGCCCCCGCTTTAGCACCTGGGCTAGTCATTTTTTTTTTTAAATGTCCACACACCTGTGGTGAACTTGTGCCCATCAGTCCCAAATACATTGCCAGGCCAGGACTGATAATTCAAGCATTATCAAAGTTTATCTTGATTTACAGATAGTATTCTAAAACCCAGTATGACCAATGGCATATTTAGGGTATGTCAGATAGGGCACACCACTTTAGGCAGGGTGCTGCAACACTCAGAGACGATGGCATTTTGTCCCCTTTAGTCAAGTTCTTCCCCCTTCAAACATTTTGTCAGCGTAACAGACAGCACAGCCAATCACTGGTGTCACACATCAGCAAAGAGTTGGGACAGAGGAAGCTATGCTACTCGCTTCCTATGCCGGGCTCTGATGGATGACATCATCTAATTCACAGCCCGGCAGAGGAAGCGTTCCTGTACCTTCAGCCCAGCATCTCTACTGTGTATGTTTGAACTGGGGTGTCACAATTCCAGTGCTTGCCGTAGGCACTATTTACCAGAGATAAGCCTCTGAGTATGACACAAAAAACATTTGATGTCTTCGCTTTTTGTCATTGTTTCAGGAAATATAATATATATGCACTGAGTGGCCAGATTATTATGACCACCTGACGTTTGTAGGCAAATTAGCTATAAGTTTGTGCTGAAGTTGCTAGAGGGCCAGACCATTATAAATAGGGAAGGAGATTGTTGGCGCTCGGAGCCAACATGATTGCTCGGCGCTCGGAGCGAGTATCAGCAAAACATCAGAATTTGTTAAATGTTCAAGAGCAGCTGTTGTTAAAGTGTTTAAAGACTGGACAGTCAGTCGAAAATCTGGGTCTGAACGTGCGAATTGTGGCCATCAGCGACTAGTCAATGTTAGGGCAGAACGGAGAGTGGCAAGACTGGTACAAGACAACAGAAGGGCAACAGTGCATCAAATGACTGCAGATCTTAAACAGGGATCCTCTCAAATGATCTCTGAATGCACTGTTCGCCGTACACTGCATCGTATGGGATATGGAAGCCGAAGGCCTGTTCGAACACCTTTGCTGTCTGCAGTTAACAGGATAAAATGTCTCCAATTCGCGCAGGAACACAAGGATTGGACAGTCGAGCATTGGAAAAAATTCATGTGGTCCGATGAATCACGTTTCCAGTTGCATCATGCAGATGGCAGAGTGAGAGTTTGGCGGGAACAGTATGAAGGAGTACAACCCTTCAAGCTGGTGGGGGCAGTGTTATGGTTTGGGGCATGTTTTCCTGATTTGGGCCCTTTAATTTGTGTGGAACAACGTCTGAATAGCACGACATACCAAAGTATCGTTGCTTATCAAGTTCATCCTATCATGTTGATGGCGTATCTCAATGGAGATAGATTCTTCCAACAAGACAATGCGCCATGCCACGATGCTCGTATTGTGCAGGAGTGGTTTCAAGAACATGAGGGAGACTTTACCTTGCTTAGATGGCCCCCACAATCACCAGATCTCAATGCAATTGAGCATTTGTGGAACGAAGTTGAAAGAGTCATCAGGCAGCTGGTTACACAACCATCAAATCTCACAGAACTGGACAGTGCTATTCATCAGGCATTGTGTTGGATTCCTCGCATCACCTTTCAACATCTAGTGGAGTCAATGCCAAGAAGAATTGCCGCAGTATTGAAGGCAAAAGGTGGCCCAACAAAGTACTGATGGGATGGTCATAATAATCTGGCCACTCAGTGTATAAGCATAACACTATTCTGAAGTCCTACATTGTACTCAATGTATTGCTTGGGAAAATTTTTATATATACAATATATTAGGGACCACTTCTTATGGGTAGTTTTTTTGTTATCCTAGATAGGATAAGCAACCAACACACTTCTGAATATGTTCCGCATATGTTGAATGCTTGGTCCCCTGCTCTGCTTTGCAGTTCCTTTCACCCACCCCTTCACTGTTGAGACAGCTAATGGTGTAGGGGTCAGCAGATGAAACTACAGCAGCCAGAGAGGGACCAGACATCCAACACTCCCAGAAGCGTTGGATGCTGAAGTTTATCAAGGAAGCCAGGATCGGTCTCTCAGAGAGCAGAAAGTATACTGTTCTTTGCAGAGAGGTCTGTTGCTTTCAGCCTAAAACCCTCATTTGCATTTACTCTTAATTCCCTGCCAATTTTGTGTTATTTATAACACAAATGCTTAAGGCAAATGGCTAGCAAATGTAAGCAGGCAAATGTTACTAGATTACTCCTTGTGTTGAAGTGTTTTCTCTTTTTATATAGATTGGATTCTACAATGCAGTAGCTGTTCCCTGCTATACAACATTAACTCAGATATTCCCTTCTACACAGCCTCTTCTTAGTGCTTGCAGGTAACCATCACAAGCTTAAATATTATTATATGTTGTACATTATAAAGCTTTTGTGTCTTTTTCTTGTTTTCCAAAGTGGTTTTTATACTACACAAGAACTGTATAGCTTTGTAATCAAAGTCTTGTATTTATTTTGTGTGGCTTACAGTTGTGATCATAAATTTATATATCCCTGGCAGAATTGTTTAAGATGTGGACCATTTTTTAAGAAAATGTGTGATAAGAGCAAACACAATGTTTTCATTTTCAACGTGATTCAAATTAAATGATTAGGGATCACAGTACTATCAATAAACAAGTCAAAGCAATAAAGGAAAAAATAAATAGTCCAATTTCCAAAGTTTGTATACCCTTTGTTCTTAACATTGTGAATTGCCTACTTTAGCATCAATTACGTCTTGATGTCTCTTGTGATAGTTGTGAATGAGGTCCTTTGTTTTCTTTTGTGATGAAGCTGTCTATTCTTGGCAAAAATCCTCCTGGCCTCATCAGTGTCTCAATTATGTTGAGGCCAGGAGATTGTGGTGGCCCCAGATCCTTTTATTTTTTTTGGTGCAGCCACTGAAGGGCAAACTTGGCCTTATATTTTTTAACATTGTCATTTGGGAAAGTCCAAGTATACAGCTTCCAGGCTTATAAATAAGGTTAATTTATTAACCTCTGTTTTTTGGCTATAGTAGTAAGAGTCAAATTTAGGAATAATCTGACTCTTTCCACAAGTGCTAGGAGAGTACGAGACGGATTACATTTATGAGCTTGAGATAATTTACTTAGCTCCCCCTCAAGCTGGGAAATGTGAGCAAGTTGTCAACGTTTCAACCTAGTAGCAATTTAAATGAAATGACCCCTAATAGTTGCTTTATGAGCCGCCCAAGTGGTGACAGGCGAGAGGACAGAAGAAACATTAAGTTGAAAGAATTCTGTGAGAAGGCCAGTAACTTCACTGACAACTGAGGGATTGCATGCCAGAGAGAGACATTGAGTTTCCAATGAAAGGATCCCTTGACAGGGCCAGCTAGAGAGAAAGACATGACAGCCAAGGAGTGATCGGACCAAGCTACTTCTCTAATTTTGGTTTAACTAATCAATGGGAGAAATGTGGAAGAGGCCAAGATGTGGTCAATATGTGCATAAGTGAAATGGGCATGAGAAAAATGCATATAATCTCTGGAAGAGGGGTTTCATTCTCACCAAATGTCTGTGAGACCATGAGAATGCAGGAGTTTGGCTAATTTTAAACCTCCTTTGGGAGAGTGTTTAAGTTTGGATCGAGAAGGGTGAGATTTATCAATGCTAAGGTCCAGAGCTAAATTAGAATCCCCAGCAAAAACTATTGTACCATCAAGATGGAGAAGGATAAAGCAAAAAAGTCTGGTAAAAAAGGGAACTTGAGAGGTGTTAGGGGCATAATAGGAAACAAATGTGAATAGGTGGTCCCCAAGTAAACCCCGCAGGAGTAGGAGTCCGCCCTCTGGGTCCTTGACCTCATGCTGCAATTTCGGGACAGTTTTAGCAAAAAGAATGGCTACCCCCTTTGACATGTCTGGGGTGTTGGCAAGAAAGTATTGTGAATAATTTTTGCTTTGTGAAGGGGATACCATTACTTTGATGAACCGTTCTCCAGGACTGGGAACCACCTACTCATCCCCATCACAGTAATATTATAGTACCCTGTTTACTGATGTTCCATGCTTCATTCAGTTGTTCCATGGAGTATTTCACATCCCTTTATGATGCTATTCTGTTCTAAGAACTGCCTATCTGATCTACTTTATTTTCATTGGTTGTAACATCTGTGACAACTCTTTTGTGTTAATACCGTGTAATTGTGCACTTTTGTTCTCAATAATCAATAAAAAATTATTTGAAAAAAAAAGAACTATAAAGTAATATAAACCCATATAATATAACCTGAATATTGCAAATACAAAAAGGCTAATTCTCCAGCCCTTCGGTCTATCAGGAAGCACTAAACAAGGCTAGGTCGAAGAAGTACAGTGTAAAATCATCAAAAAGGAGAACCGTAGCAATACTAGAAAAGTAAACATCATCTAAAAAAGACAGAACTCTACTCTGTTACCAATAAGACAGAGAAAAAGAACAGGTAAAGTCATATAGCCATACTGAGAACTTGATATTGACATTTTCTTTAAAAACTCTAAATCCTGCTTCCGCAGCATAGATTGCACTAGAGAAGCAATATGAGGAACCTGCTCTGCATATGTATGTGTTGCACACAGTATATGTATCTGTTGCATACATAAACTGTGGCATATTTGGGCACTTGGTGTGAAGGTCCAGAGAGGGGAGGCAGGAGGGGACACAGTGGGGGTGACATCTCAGGGAGCCCACAGAGTACGGAGAGCAGGGGGTGGGGCCGAGTTGATAGTGGGTGGAGCCATGTCTATGCTGCTATATGTAGCCTCCTGTCTGTATAGCACCGGTGCTGGGCTGGTGCAAGCCCCATTGCCTACACAGGTGAAGCTGCATGTGTTTATCTTATGTGGGCTGAAGGGGCAGCTGCTTTGGGCCCCACAGCAATGATTGGGCAGCTGCCCCTTTTGCCCTGTGTTAAAGACGGCCCTGGTACTCGAGAGCAAGGCGAATGATTGCCATGTACTGCATTTTCCGATTACACCCTTATCAGCCAGCTTCATTAGACATATGCCATCTGGCAGTGAGTCTTGGTTTTGTTCCTAGCAGCATTTCTTGTCATTCATTTAGAATAGGTGCCACGTCAGCCAACTCAAAGCATGGTGTTCCTGCTCTTGTTATCAAAAAGTTAGGTTGTTAAAAGTCAGTTGATAGCTTTATATTTCAGATTCACAAGTTGAAATGGCTTTAGCTTTTAATAATCGGTTACTTGAACGGTTATGTGTGTTACTAATAGGGTATCAATAAATAATATATTTCATTTTCTCCTGTAAAGTTTTTGCCCCCTTCTAGGCTTACCTACACGGCCTGGCCTCGACACACCTCAGGCCGCATATCCTTACTGTATAGTTTGTTGATATATACACCACCACAAATGATTAGGTTAGTTTATTAACCTATGTTTGTGGGAGGGGCCTATGCACATAAAACCCCTCATCTCCTCACCTGGGTAACACTTGCATTCACAATTGCTGGCCCTCCCACCCATCCCCTTTTTTTTGTTTATCCTTACTCCCATATCTTATTTTTTTCATAAGGATATGCCCCCTTCTAGGCTTAACTACATGGCCCGGCCACGGCACACCTCAGGCCAAATATCCTTACTGTATAGTTCATTGGTATATACATGACCACAAATGCAAATTTTGCTCTAATATTTTTTGATAATATGCTGCATTCCTCTTGTCATTAATTTTGACTAAATTCCCTGTGCCGTTGTTGCACACATCCTCCAAAATAGCAGAAATCAACCTTCATGCTTCAGTGCTTCATGGTAGGTATGATGTGCTTCTCTTCATAGGCCTTGTTAACTCCTCTCCGAACATGGCATTTATGGTTGTAACCATTAAGTTCAATTTTCATTGTATTTGCAAAGTTCAGTTTTGATCTCATCACTCCAAATAATTTTGCACCAGAAGTTTTGAGAATTCTCTAGCTAATGTGGGGCACATTGTAAGTGGGTTGCTTTGTGACATAGTGCATTACAAATTGACAACATTTTACAACTTCTGCCAGTGGTATGTAACCCTATAGGTAAAAAAACACCATGAAGCTGCTGCTGACCATAATTGATAACTTTTATCCTCTCCTATATTAGTTATCTCCATATATCCGTAGTAGTAGTTTTTAGCAACCCATACATATGAAATGACAACTTTTGCTGTTGACTGAATCGGGCTGTGATTTCACATCTGCGGGGAAAGAGATGTTGACTATGTTTGGGGGAGCATTGAATGGACAGATTAGAAACCTGTACTGATAATTTTTTCATAACCGATACAAGGCACACGCACCTTCTTCCTGTGATGTTTCTCTTGCTCCCTCCTTTAGTAAGAATGCTCAGCCAAGCTGAACACTAATGCTTCTTATACCACTGGCTACCAGAGAACCTGGACGACAGTAGATTGTGCCTACATGGCCAGTGGCCTTCCTGTGTCTTGGGACACTGTTACAGATATTAGACAGTGATGGTGGACATGGTGGCACAAATTGACTGTCGAAAGATGAATCTCTATAAACAGGCCATGCCCAGATTGCTGCAAGGGTGCTTTTTTTTGGGAAAACAGAGGCAAAGAGGACATCCCAAGTGCCAGATTACCTAGAAAAAAACAACCAGGCCATACGTTCACGGAGATCAACTGGTAAAAGGAATGGTAAAATTTCCCATAGGTCTGCGATTCATTTCTAATCAACCCATAATCTGCAGATTTGAGGGGCAACCTAATCTCTGAAGGCACCTTTTACTAAAGTTAACCATACACGTGAGCAGACATCCCCTTCATGAATGGTCTCCTGAGCACAACATCAGCCCTGTCAGATGTGATACTGTGAGGCTGTGTTCCGTAGTTGCTTTCCCAGCCTGCTGAAATGGGAGTGGAAGGGAGGTACAGCTGTGGACATCTGAAAAAGTATCAGACTGTTGCCATATTGTGGTGTATGTGTAAAC